GGCAACGCGGGGCAAACCGATTAGCTTTGAAGCGTGCTCGAGTGTTGAAAGACCTCTGCTGATGAAATGCCCATATGTTTCCCCACTAATTTAATTTTCTTCCTATGACTTTTTAATTTGCATTGGTAACTCTTTCAGTTAGTGGTTCGTAAAGTTAATAGTATGATTAAATCGGTTTGGTCATACGTTTAATGGGGGTTTACATTTTTGGTAATCGTTTGCTTGTTTCGGATAAAATTGGTAATTTTGGAGTGTATTTTTCATAAACGCAATGTCCATTTCTTGTAAACAACAAAACTGTATAATCATGATAACTGTTTTTAATTTGGTTCAGGTGGTTTTTTTTTAACATGAGGTAAATGCCTTTCAAATAAATTTCTTTAATTGAAAATAAGTTTTTATCTTTATACATGTTGTTTTATTTTATTGGTTCTTATTATATCAAAGATATATATTATTTTTGTCCTAAGCAAACAGGCTTGCCAAAACAAAAACTTAGCAAAAAACTTGAAAACAAAAACAAAAGACTTAGGCAACGAACTTGCACTAACATACCAGGAACCCGCAGTTTTTCACAACTTATGTCCGGGCAGGCGATAAGCAGAGTTAAAACGCCCGGGCATTATGTAAAATAGAGCAAACAATTAATTTTCTTTGCTCCACTTTGGCGACAAGGCGACAATTAACCAATGCGATAAGGCGAAGGCGCCCGCAGACTTGCCCCAGGTGCTGGCTGTCTGAGTGGCAAATGAAAGTAAATTGTGGCAACCGCAACTCCCCTTTTCCCGCCTCATTTTTTTCGACGGCATTCCATTCACTTGGCGGTGGCTGTTGGGAAATTTCCTTGCCTCGCATGTGCGTACAAATATGATAACGCAATTTATCGCAAAATAGGGAAAGTGAAATTAGAAATGGGCTTCGCGAGCAATTTGCATACTGATCTGGCACACTGCGGGTTGAAGGCCAGAGAAGGCGGAATGCGGGATGAGGAGTGTGAAATATGTTAATTGAGGAAATTGCAATCATGGCAAAGGAAATGAAAAAATGGTGAAATAAACGGCATTTTTTTGGAGGTTTATTATTGCCTTTTACTTTGGATTTTTATATTACATGGATTTTGAATGCACGCTGCAGATAATAAAGATCTTTCTTTTTAAGTTTCAGAATGTTGGATCCAGCTTTAAAAATTGGTATGAATTTATGTTAACCAATTTGTGCCCCTAATAAAAATGTACAATTTTGTGATGAAACCGTTTAATTATTTCTTTTATAACTTCTCCCAGTTTTCACTGAACCATAACTCCATATTTTTGCCGAATAACCACGAGTGTGGAAGAATTCCCGTTACCTGCTAACCATTTCCGTTAACTGCTCAACAGTTATAGTAAGTCACCCCTTGCAGATCATTAGTGGAATGCCGTTAGCCAGGATCAGAGATGCAGATGCAGATAAAAGAAACAAGACAATTAACATAATTCAAAAAACCCCATATTCTCCTCCCCATTTTTGGTTTCTTTTGTTGTGGCCATTTTTACTTTCCATTTCTTTAAACGGTAAACGCGAAATCCGCTAAGAAAAAACGACTCCAATTGCAAAAAGGGGGCGGGGCAGGGGGGTCGGATCGGGAATCGGATGCCATTGAATGGGCAGAACCGGTTACCGTTAGTGGCATTGCCAACCCAACGAAAGTAAAAACTCAAGGGCTTGCACTTTCTGCCCAAGTTGTCCGGTCCAGTTCAGTGACGATCGGTGAAAGAACGATGGAAGTGAAAGAAGATGGAGGGTGAAAGAAAGCAAAAAGCGACAAGGTGATCAGCGATCAACGGAGAAAGGGGTAAAGGGGCTCAGAGAAGGGGCGCTGCGGTGCTGCGGGCATATCCTCAAGTTGCAACTTGCAACGCATCGTTAGCCGAAGCCAACTCGAGGCCGAGTTGCCATTGGATGTCGGAGTTGCATGCACTCTGAGAAAACTTAACAATGTTAAATAAAGGTGCCATTTAATTTTGCTATATTAAAAATATCCTGATTTAATATAAATTATTTATTTTTAATTAATTTTCCAAAGTATTTAAAAAAATAGTAGGGGGAAAGAAAAAACAAACAATTTGATTAATAAATTTTTAGTTAAACATGTCCTTAAATTTTGACAACTTAAGTCAGCAAAAAACATTTTCAAGCATTAGTAAGTTCAAACATTTTAAAATATTTATTTTGTAGGTTACTAAAACTTTAAAAATGAAAACGAGTCATATATATTTTGCAACCCAAAAAGACATTGCCATTGACGAATTTTTTCTCTGTGCAGAAACAGATACAACGACTGTGGCAAAGCCAAAGCCGGTTGCATTTTGCTCTGAAATAATTAGTGACCCAATTTCGGGCTGCGGCGGCTGTCGCCACGGAGCGGCCTGTTCCGCTTGCCTGCCGCCGCACCGCTAGCCACCAACCGCACCACCAACTTCACCCCCATCCGCACCACTTGCTACTTGCAGTGGTGCAGGCAAATTGCTCGACTCTCGGGCTCCACTTGGTGGTGTTGGCGTACTCGTACTTTGTGGCATGCATGCAAAGAAAGTGGTTTTCATTTCTTTTCAGCGCACCGCCCAGCCACACATGCAGATACAGATACAGATACGTTTACACCGCCGAGTTACTTGAGATGTTTCGTATGTGCTGCTCGATTTTTGGAGTGACTCTCGTTGAGTTAATGCGCGGCTCAATAAAAAAAATAGGAAAACGAAATACGAATGGGCGGCCATTGATTTGTCTGATTTTCCATGATTTCCATGATAATTTCGAATCAACTTTGATTGCGCATAATCAAGAGCTTTGGGAGCGACTTCAGTCGGGAGTGACGTGCAGCGGCTGGTGCCAAATGAGTTTTTGTGGTCAACAAGCCGAAAAACGCTGAGCTGGCTGCCGGAGAATTAGAGGGTTAACAGAGTTAACCAAGTGAAAAGGAAAGAAATCAAAACAAATGCAAGTAAAGTGAATTGAATTATTTTGAGAATAACATGTCAGTAATGAGAAATTCACTTAGCGGTCTCATTAAAAGCAGATTGAAAGCTAAGTGAAGGCAGCAATAGAAAAAGTGACTATATTTTGAGCGCTATTTTCTTTTATTTTCATAGCCTTAAACATTACTTTTTAAATTATGTGACGTAAATTTTGTTGGCTAATTATATGTAGTTTAAAAGGTTTAGTTTTTTATGTTTATTTATTTACCAGTCAGTTTTGTATACTGTAATAAATGAAATATGTTTTCCCGTTGAAACCTTTTCTTTGTTTTGCTCTTCCATTTTTCTTTCAAGTTCTTTTCTATTCTTTTCACTTGGCAGCTAATGAAAACCGTGTCTTCACAACTCCTGGAACTGCCAATGAAAGTTCGGTCGCTTTTCTTTTTTCTTTCAATCCCGTTGTTGTTTGACATTTTCACGCTGCCATGAAAAACTGCGTGAAAATTGCACAAGGCGGCGAGACAATTGCCGTTAATTTGAAATTGTCGCCAAGTCCCAGAGCCAGTCGCCTTGGTCTTGAGCCAGGGTTTTCAGATTGAGATTGAGCTGGAGCTGGAGTTGTTGCCACAGCCGAGAGCGAGAAACCAGTAATTATTGCAGCAAGTGGCGCAGCTTCTTTCACTATGAGAATGTCTGTGTTTGCGGTCTGTCTGTGTGGAATCAATTAAAAGTAATGCCAGGCGCTATGTTTGGGCAGCTATGACAAGTGGTGGCAGTGGCCCACACGGCCACACGGCGTATGAGCAATGCAACCCACTTGGCCAAGAGCGCGCGTGCTAGGAGATGCAGAAGATACAGATATCGTACTGAGTGAAATTGTTTTCATGTGCTCATGGCCCAAAGTGGAGCAGTTTTTGAACAAAGCAATTCGCAATATTAATCAAAGAGAAGCTGCAACACATGTGTGTAAGGAAAACTCAGCGACTGCAACTGCAGCAGAAGCCACGACTGCGAATGAGAAGCGGCACAAGGTAATTTCAGACTTTCATTCGCGCGAAACGCGATGAAATTTCACCAGCAGCAAAAGCAGCAAAATCAGCAACATGAGACACACAGAACGAGAGCCGGCTACTGCACCACCACCACCAGCACCACCAGCACCACTCGAACTACTCGAATCTCGTTTCAAGTGGGTGGTTGGGTAGACAGCCTGCTTAGCTCTGTTTTTGGCCAATTGGAAGCTTTGAGTATGCAAATCCAAATTAAGCTTAATGAGCCAAGGGTTCCATCAGTTTTATCCGCTTCACGCCTCAGCAGCTCCTTAACTATTATTAATAATTATTATATTTCCGCATAATGCACGACGACGACGAAAGTTTGCCGTGCGTTTTTGGCTTTCTTCTGCACTCTTTCAACGAAAATAACAAGAATTTACGGGTATTCTCTCTTTCAGCGAAGTGATTGCAACGCTTTTGTAAGCAAATGGAACTGTGGGTTGAGTGTTTGAAGGTTTTCAAAGTTATGAGTATGTGAATGAGGAAGATGTTTATATGGTCTGCAGACAGACTATAGACAGCATTTAAAGAACGGTTAGGTGCGTCCATAGCTAAAGCTGATCATTAATTTTGACTGAGGTGTGGAACCATTATTTTATTGTAAAGAGAGCTGTTTGTTAAAATTTTCTTGAAGCAAAATTTTTAATTATCTCACAGAAATTTTAAAAATCTCTAAGGAGATTGAAAGAAATTTATTATTTTTCTTTGACTGGTTAATTGTACACATTATTTCAAGTTCGTTGCCTAAGTCTTTTGTTTTCAGGTCGAATGAATTTTTAAATTGTGATAAAATATTGATTGGCACATATTGAATGTGCATAGCTCTGTATCAAAAAGTTTTCAGACATGATTTAAATTCTTTTTCCAAAAATCAAATTTTCCTATTTCACAACATTTCAATATTATTATTGTGAGGCACTTAAATCGGTTCATTGATCTTCAAACATGATCAAAGCAGTTATTCATGAATTCCGTTCCACTTTCTTACCTTCAGGCAGTTAAAATCCTTTGCATTGGGTTTTAGTTAATCCCTTTAGCTGGAGTCAATGGCACAGCGCTGGATCTCGTTGGGGTTATTGGAGTTCCACTGGATTCGAGGATTTGGATCTGTTCGATGCACAAATTGAACCAAGAGCAAGTCTCGAGTTGCTCGCTTGTTTTTGTAGCTTGTTTTTATTCGAAATTCGTAAATCGTATTCCAATTTCTTAAAGATTTTCGATACGAGATTTGCACTGCGAGCACGGAACGAAGGGACGCGCTGCGGACGCGAAGGTGGCTAACAGGACGCGACTGCAGACAACTCGTCGCACACAAAGTTGAAATGAAAATGCGGCCTGGCCGTATTGCTAACCAAGATTTTATATCGCGTGAAAGTTTTGACCCCTTTACCACTGGAGCTGTCGCTCCGCTCGAGCGCCCGATGCCTGAAAAGCGGCGAAGAGAGCTCACGAAGAGGAAAAGAGTCGCTCTTTTGCTCGGCAGCACCTCGCCGAATGCAAAATATGCCGTTTTCGGGTATTCCAAAAACTTGTTTTCGGCCAACTTTTCATTTCAGGCCGCTTTCTGCCGGCCACCTTTTTCTCTTTCTCTTACGGTTTTCGTGTATATTGGTTTATTTTCATTCGTATTTCGTATTTTTGGCAACCGTCTGCGTGGTGTCAAGGTAACTGGTGACGTCGGTCGGTGGTGGCGGATACCAGCGAACTACCTCAACGATTGCCTAATTTCGATTGTTATTCGAAAAGGGTTCGCGTCCGGCTGTGAGTCAGCTAACGGCTTTTTGGCCACGCTTGTTATTCTGGCCAATGCATTGGAAAATTAAATTATGATCGCCAGCCGCTTATGCAATCCCTAATGACATAATGCACACACTTAACGGGCGAAGAGGTGTGGCACAAAGGCGGTGAATATTTTCATTTTGTTGACCTTTGTGTGTGCGAAGCGTAAATAAATAAATTTGATTCATTTACCAAGTCAACTTTTGTTTCTTTAGAGCGAATAGAAAAGCATGAATTCGATTTTAATTGTATAATTTATTAATTCAAGTTCGTTGCCTAAGTCTTTTGTTTTTCGGGCAAAAACCCAACAAACAATAAGTTAATTGTACAGTCGATGGCATTGTTATGGGCAAATTAACATTCCATACAGCTTCAAGAATTATTTGTGAAAGTTTTCTTATTTTAAATGAATTTCATATTGCAAATGATTCAACATAATGCATACATGTATGCACTTCATAGCATTTCCTTTTTAAAAAATTATTTTATAAGAAAATGTAATAATAAAATAAAAAATTATATACATATAAAGCTTAAAGATTGAATTAAACTTTGTTTTTAATTTGATGGACGCTCCAAGAAAATGTCTCAATATATATTACTAAATTGATAATATCAATATTAGACATTCTAATTTTTAAATGCACCATAAATATTTTTCCCAAACTCATTTAAAACTTAATTTGAACAAATTAAGGCATGTTCCAAGAAAATGTCCTCATTATTTATTATTAAATATTGTTTAACCAAATGATTTCAGCCCAATTTTCAAATGCCTTGGGGCCAGTAATTCCATCTGCACATTGCACAACGCAAACAAATAAAGAAAAGCAAACAACTTTGTGCCAATTTCCTGGCAACAAATTTGATCAATTTGCCAAAGTGCAAAACCCAAAAGTAAATTTGTCGTTCACCGCTCTCGAATTTGTACAAAAGAGATGTGTCTTGGTGGACCGGCCAATTTCCGATGATGAAATGGCACAAAAATGTCTACCCAAATTGCCAATCAAAGCCGGCAAGTGAAACGAGCTTGAAGCTCGCTGGCACAAGCCGAAAAATGATTAAGTAGAAATGCCCAAATCCGAGAGATACAACATGGATCACCGACAATTGGCCGAGCCCAGCGCCAAGAAAGTAATCGGCGAACTTTCATTTGAATATATGGTTTGGTACGCACCTTGGCTGCCCAAGCGATGACATCGAAAGAAATCGAAAGTTCCGCCTTTTGCCATAGGGTTTCGATTTCATGAAGAGTCGGTCTCGGTCAGGGCACGGCAACGCCCCGGATTTGGATCCGCAGTGAATCACACGCAGCTCAATGACGTAGATCCCCTGGCACCAGCACACAAGTTGCCTGCATTATCACCGAGTTACACTGCTGAAATGGAATTGGGTCAGGGACGTGCGTGGCATGCTAATTGAGCCGTGATCCGTCTCGGCTGACGCACTCGTACGTGGGCAGGCCCTCATCCAGTGGCTTCTTATTCGGTTTGCTTTTTATTTCTAGAAAATTGAGCAACTTCTGGGCCCGCATTTGATGCGCAGGTAAAGCCAAGTTGGGAAAGGCAATGGTTTTCGACTGAAGAACGCGGCTGTGATGTAACTTCTTTGGAGAAAGTGAGGCAACGGTTGAAAAAGTATAACAAATTTTGGATTTACATAAATTTCATAATTAAATTAAATCCAAGATTGGATTTAAAAGGGGATAAAATATAAGTGCTAATTAATCGCACTTTATAATAAATGTGGCTTCCGAATATCCTCAATGCAATCAATAGCAATTTTAACTTGTACAATATAAACACCTAGATAATTAAACTATTCAATAACTTGCCGATCTTTTCTTCAGAAAAGCCATTAGTAAATAGTTTTTTAATGTATTTAAAATAAAACATATTGTCAAATCTTAAAAACAATAATATCTAATAAGCCCCAAATAGTTTTCCTTTTGCCACTACTAATAGATAAATAAACTTAAGTGAAAACAACATAAAATGTTTATCTAACGCTAAAAACGGTTGCCACCTGTCTATCAAAATCTTTTCAAATGCACCTTTTTCTCCAGCCTCTTACCTTTTTCACCTCATCAAGCTGCATATAACAAAATAATCCCGGGTTCATTCAGTTAATTTTGTTTCATTTATGAGCAGATAAAAACCAGTTGCTGGCAGAGTTTTGCACAACTCTTTCTTTTTTTCAAGCCGCTTCGGCAGTGCAGTTATAACGGTGCACAATCTGGGCGCTTATTGTTTATAAACAAATTATTGTGGACCATGGCCTGGCCCAAACAATGTCAATCATTATATTATGCAAGTCTCACTCCGGCCGGAGCTGCAACCCCGGGCCCGGTCATCGAGCTCAATGGAATCGCCTCGCTTTTTACTTTCCATTTCTTTTGTCAGTCGCTGGGCTACAATTTGTTGGCCGTTTTTTGTTATTGTTCACTCGGTTGCTGGCTGCTTTTCCGTTGATCTGTCGCCAGCCCTAAATCACATTTATAAAAGACAATGAACCTGGGGCTTAGATGGTGGACTCAAAGGGAGAAGGGCAGCCCACAGGTGTAGATCGGGGGGCACGACTTGGCCTGACTAGTGCCAAATTATTTAATTCACCACCATTAAATCATTCATCTCTGGCAGAGGAACCTTAACTGGCCACAATTGAATAGGAGATTTTAAGAAGGAGGGGCTTTTTTTGCTTTTTCATTAAAACATTGCTTTTTTTTTGCTTTTTACGATATTTGTAATGATATTTTGTTTACCATGGCTTCTTATCTAGCCAAATTGAATCGCTAAGCACTCTGGAAACTCTGTAACTTGACTAAAAGCTTGGGAAAAAGTGGTCAGAAAATGGGGTTAAAACCTCTTTGTACTTGTCATAAAATTCTCAATCTATTGGCATCCAAAAATTAAACTTTTTATTGTTAGCTTATTTTTGTAATGGTTACATTACATTACTTATGAAAAGTGGAAATATTACAAACACTATTTTTTTGCAGAGTAATAAGGATTCATAGCCCAGGTCCTCAGCTCAAAAGCAAAATCTGTATTTTAGCTATGCGCCTAAACTTGGCAAAATCACATTTCAAAAAACCCTTTCAAAATGTGTTTTTTTGGCAAGAACCTAAAAAGTCAAAACAAACCTTTTTTTATTTGCTGTGTTTTTACTATAGACCTTTTATATCTTTAAAGCTGTTATTAAAAAATAATTGTTTCTTAAAAAATAAATTGTAATAATATATTTTCTCTCCCGTAATATTAATATTTCTTGCCGAACAGGACCATCCATTTCTCTCAGTGTCCGCGAAACATGTCAATTGATTTTGCCTTTGGATTCGGTCCACGCTTGATGGCTGCTGCGCCCTTTTTGGCCATTTCTTCGTCTTGAGCTGCATAAATGGCTCTTAATTATTATTTTATGCATATGACTTGGGGCCGGGATGGGGTCGGATGCGAGTATAGTCGAGTCGAGTTGAGCATGGACGGAGCCTGAGTCATGCGCCATATATCACTTTCACTCGCCAAAAAAATGTAAAAAAAAAATGCCAAAGCAAAACGGCAAGAAATCTCAATCGGGCAACGAAAAGCCAGACGCAGACAGCCAAAGGCGTGTCTGGGACCAAGGAACAGCTATGCCATATATACTGCAACATGCGGCATTACAAGCCGATCAGCCTCCGTTTTTTAACGTTTAATTGCGAAAGACAGAGTCACGGGCTCATCCCAACTTAACTTCATGTTGCAGTTGAAGGCGTTGAAAGGTCTTAAGTCCGCGCGATTGCATAAGCCACTCAGCCTTGCCAAAAAAGAAAAGATCTTTTAAAAATAGTTTTCTAAAGAAATGGTGAAGCTTTGTTTGCCTTTGATCGAAATCCCATTTCGAATTCCCACATATTGCGAGACGATCAATATTGATTGTCGACAGTTGGAAATTATGTGTATCTTTCGGTTAGACTCTCCGTTTAGCACACACTCGAGTGTTTTCACTTTCGTTTCGGGGCCCAGTTGTAGTCTTTCGATTTTCGGTGGTATCTGTGAACTGTGCGTATGCAAATTAGGTAGCGACAGCGACAACAAGGCGCTGAAATACCGTAAGTGGCCAAAAGCAAAATCGCTGCTACAGATATGAAAAAAAGATGCCTGAAAGATACGCAGAGTTAACCGTTTTATTTTTTTTCGCCAAATGAAAGAGAAATTGTGTGCGGCGGTACCAAGATTTGTTTTTTTTTTAACATATGTATATAGTATGCTAATTGGTGCGCTAGCTGAAGCTTAAAGTTATAAATGTCTAGCTCATAAGCCGTAAGCAAGACTATTATGATTTAATCAGGCTGCTGGGAAGGGGATACATTACCTAAGTTTCTTGTAGCTATAAAGCTACCAGTTGATGTTATTCTATTGATGTAAACTCATTTTCAAAAACTATAAAATAAACACTAAAATATGAATAAAAATATTAAAGATTAAAATACTGGTAATTTTAAATACCTATATTTATAAATTAACATCATATCGTTTAGATTTCTACTCCAAAAGAGTATCAAAATTTGGACTAAGCTCCGCTAATTTATCGAATGATTAAGCTTATGCTGTGATTAGGCATGCGAATATATTATAAATTTGGCATAGGGGAACCATAAGATTCGTGAAATATGGTTGCTTTCTTTGGATCTTTCTAAAGTTGGATAACATAATGCTTTGTTGTGTGGGATTCGTAAACGTTGCGCAATACGGCAAGGTGAAACATTTGTCCCCCTTAAAATCGAAGGCATTTGTAAAATGCATTAATCAAATCCAAGTCGAACGTTAATGATTCGGTGATCGGTGTGATCTCAGAATACCACGATAAAGTGAAAAGTCGGAGGAATTTAACACCTATTAAAACGGTTTGGTTTCGGTTTTTAGGGGGCTCTTGCTTTTGCTTTCATTGAGAGCCGAGAAATCGACAGTAATTGAATATTAAGCTCTGAACCGAGGTTAATGGTTGCGGATTGGATGCGTTTTTCAGCATCTATAATTGCATTTTAATGCTATTTATATCGAGCTAAAAGGTATACAAACGTGTGTTTTTGGAGCGGGCCATCATTAGGCAACTTTAGCGAGCCGGTGGGTTACTTAATGACCCATGGCCGAAAGACCTTTTCAGCTTTTCAGGCACTAAACTGTGAAAGAGAAATGCACGGCCGAAAGAAAGAGATGCGGAGAAAGCATCGCAGCAAGTGGCAGTGGTAGTAACAGTAGTAGCAACATCGACGGACCAAAATCAAACCAACTGCAACAATTCGCCAACATCCAAGAGCAACAACAACCATGAGAACAGGTGAACCCCTCACAAGCCCACTGTGTTTTTGAGTTCGTAAATCTGCTCGGCGATTACTTTCGATTGCTGTACTGCAATGCCGAAAGGTTGCCGCCTGCTGATTAAGTTGCTGTCCGAGATTTTCACGCTGTTTGATTTGCATTTAAATAATCATGTACATTGCATAGATCACACCTCTTTCTGGAGGGAAATGTTGTTAAGCCCATTTACGAGTTTTCACTATTTTAACATATACAATTAACTGCGTTACAAAAACGTTATAATTATAATCTAAAAATGTGTGCGCTTAAAAATATTTTATAGTGTATGAACACAAACGTTTTATTTTATATGCAAATATATATTTAACATTTTTCTGAAAAATGTTTAAAAACAAAGGCAGGTTTACCTCTCTTAATACACTTTGAAAGTAAAAACGCAGAATTTTTGGTAGTTGAATTTTATTTTAACAATTATTTTAAAAATGGGTATTTATTTAAAAATTACTTTTTAATAACATTTTACATTACGGATTCAAATTGGACATGTAAGTTACATTGCTTGTGTGTAACTATATGACACAAGTGTGACCTTATCAATTTCCTTGTCCAACTTTACAGCACTGCTTTAACAGCTGATGGCTCCCGCGACTTTCAACACTCTTTGCGCCAAAAGTCGAACTGTTTATGATAGTGTGCGTGTTTAACTGGGAAATGTTTTTGGTTCTTTCTTATTATTAACAAAAAACAGTGACCCAGAAATATGAGCGAATCGGTTGCAGAAACTGCTGCTGCAGCGGAAAATGAAGACCAGGCCGACGACTCTATGGAAAAGCTGGAGTTTGATGAGGGAGAAGAAAATAATGTGTCCGCCGAAGATTTATTGGGTGGCAAGAGTTTGATGATGTCGGATGACAGCGAAAATGAAGATGTATCCGATCTAAAGCCTAGAAAAATATCACCCAAGGCCAGGCGCCAAAGGATGATGGACACGGATCAGGAGGAGGATGCAATGGAGTTAGGAAATCTTCAGGCGGAAGAGCATATCTCACCCAAAAACAAAGGGCAACGGCTGCTGGGCAGCAATGAAGAGGAGGAGGTGGCCCCCAGTATCAAAAATAAGAAATACAACATCATAAGCTCAGACAGTGAAGAGGAGCAACAGTTGGTCAATAAAAAAAAGCCGGAGCAGAAGAAACCTGCCAAGAAAACCCAGAAAAAGACATCCCAGGTGGATAACGATCAGGAGGAACCGGAGCAGGAAAAACCCACCAAAACAGACAAGAAAAAGAAGGTGACCAAAAACAAGAAACAACCTGAAGAGGACAACGGTGAAGACAGCCAGGAGAAACCTCTTAATAAAGAAAAGTCAAAGAAGTTGGCTAAGAATAAAAAACAAATGATAAAACAGCAGGAATCCCATATAGACCAAGAAGAGGATCAGGATCAAGATAAACCTGACAAGGCATTAAAGCCAAAGAAGTTGGACAAGAATAAAAAATTGGACATCAACGAGAACAATGAGACGGATAAGGAGCAGAAAAAACCTGCTCAAAAACAAAGGGCAAAAAAATTAGCTAAGAATAAAAAGGAATCTACATTGGAAAAGGACGAAAAGGACTCCCAAATGGACATAGATGAAGACTCCAAAATGAGCCAAGAAGGGGATACAAAGCAGGAGAACTCTTCAAAAAATCCAAAGCCAAAGAAGTTTGCCAAGAATAAAAAAGAATCCCCAACTGAAAAAGTGGAGAACTCCCAAATGGACAAAGCGGAGGAGCATGACCTGGAAAACCCTGCCAAGAATAAACAAGATGGCTCCCCGAAAAAAGTGGAGAAACAGAAGACAAAGAAGTTGACTAAGAAAAATCAAAATGAAATTAACAATGAAAAAGATAACGATCCAGACGATCAAGAGCAGAATGTGGGGAGTGCTCCTACGAAAGTAAAGCCGAAAAAGGTGTCCAAGAAAAATAAACAACAAATTGGGAGCGACGAAGAATCAAAGGTAAACGAAGATTTAGATAAGCAAGATCAGGATCAGGACTTAAAAAGCGGCAATGAAATCAAGCAGGGAATGGACAGTGAGAATGACCTCCAGATGGACAGCGATGAAGATCAGAATACGCAAAAACCTTCCAAAAAAGTAAAGAAAAAGAAACAACGAATGGACAGTAATAGCGAAGATGAGACTCATATTCAAAATCGAAGCGAAGTGGAAGTCAATCCTGCCAAAAACCAACTCAAAGGCTTAGTGGACTCCGAATCCGAACCCGAGGAATCCACTGCGGAAACTAGTCTCCCCAAGAATAAACTAAAAGGTCTAGTAGACTCCGAATCCGAACCAGAGCTAAGTAATCCAGAGGAATCTGCTGAAGAGCAGGAAACACCCACTCAGGCAAATAAAGAAAAACCCAAGAAGCCAAAAGTTGTGCGGGTAAGTTTTATTTATATAAATCTTTAAACATATTTTGTTAATTTTATTAACATTTTCTCAGGAATCTGCCAAGAAAGCGTTGGAGGGGATGCAGGCCATCCAAAGCGAGCAGCAGCGTCTGCATCGCGAAGCTCATATCAATGTGCCCTACCATCAGCCAAAGCCCAGGACACTAAAAGAGTTTCTCAGCCGGCGCACCATCAACGCTCCATTAGCCACAGCTCTGGCTGGCGGAAGTCCCATGCCCAGTAAGCAACCCAGAAAGTCTGTGGGACTTCGGATGACCGGGGAGGAATTGGAGGCTTATGCGTAGGTTGTGTAAACATTCTTTTAAACTTTATTAAAATACTTTAACTTTTAGAAAACTTATGGAGGATCGCGCCAAAGAAGCCACCGAGTTCTTTAAGTCCGAATCCGAGCCAGAGGATGAAGAGGATTCAGATAACGAGCCCATGGAGTTAAAAGATAATCCAGGTGTTTTGGATGAGGTACTAGATAATCCAAAAACACCAGAACAACCCAAGGTGAAGGAAAAAGTGTTGGAGACCGAAGCAATAATGGACGATTTAGTCACAGAGGAAGCCATGGTAAAAGATCCAGTGATTGAGGATGAACCCATTGCCTCCACCTCAGCAGCAGCTGCTCTGAGACTCACAGATGACTTGGAAATTCAAGCAGCGAATGCGGTTGAATCTCCCAGCAAAGTGTGTCTAATCACAGAAGTAATAGAACTCCCCAGGCTAGACTTGAGCAACATCAGCATAACGCCGCCCTCCAAGCCAGCCACGCCGAGGATCAGCGATGCTATTCGACGACTGAAGATCGAGAAAAGTTTGGATGTAAGTCCATCGCTTAAGGGCGATGCCAACATGGTTATTGACCTGGAAACTGGCGACATGTTCGCCAAAAAACCAACAGGAGTGGATGATTTGCTCAAGCGCCTGATGAAAACGAGGGAAGCCAAAAAGCACAAGACCACAGAGACTGTCAAGTAAGTGATCCCAATAATCAAAGATCCCAGTTAATAAACTTGTCTACCTTTTCAGCATTTTATCCACTGAGCATGGTAAATTGGAGATGTCTAAGGTCAGCATTCACCTGCACGAAGAGGAGATCGCTAAGGAACCCAAACCTGGAGCTGGTTACATGAAAATGCAGGAGCAGCTCAAGTCCCTGATAACCAAGAAGCGCATGGAAGATCTTCGCAAGAAGCAGGCTGAAGAGCAGGAGAGGCTGGCAGAAGATGAGGAGGAAGGCATGGATGTGGATGAGGAGTATGAACCAGAAGAAAAACCTGGATACGCTAAAGTGACCATAAACGAGGATGAGGAGATTGTTGAAGAAGACGAGGAAGCAGCCGAGGAGGATGAGGTGGCAGAAGAAATTAAAAGCGATCCAGACGAGGATCCCGAGGATGATCCAGTTAAAGATCTTGAAGTTCAGGAAAACAGCAGTGAAAGTGAACAGGAAAGCGAATCAGAACTAGAACCTGAAACGCAAGGCAGAAAAAAGAATAGAATCATTAAAGCCTTCGAGGACGACAACTCTGATGAGGATGATCTCGACCTGCTGCAAACCCCTAAGCCAAGCAATATCGCTCCCATAACGGCCACTCAACTGCAGTTGTCCGCCCACAAACTTTTCGATGCGGAAACCCGTCGCACGGCCAGCGATGAGGAGAACGAATTGCTAGACCTGTGCTCCGGCCAGTTCCCTCAGTCCCAGATGGTTTCCTCCGCCGCACCTTCTGTGGATACAGCTGTGATCAGTCAAATTCCCATGACACAGTTTGGGACCAGCAGCCAGGCACCTGATGAATTGGAGGGTCTTTGTTCCGGCACCTTTGCGACTCAGCTACCATCGCAAGCACCCACGCAAAAAGCGGAGGAGCAGGAAGAATCCCAAGAGCCGCCAGTGGTTGCCAACAGAATTGTTTCCAGCGATGAGGAGGCCAAAGAGGAAGCGCAGGATTCCGACAAGCCACGCAACAAGAAACTCACAAAGAAGAGGTCTAAGAAAAAGGCCAAACTTGGCTTCTCGGATGATGAAGAAAGCGACGGTGATGTCGAAGAACTCGAGGAGGACGAGAGCGAAGGCGAGCCAGAAGAAGAAATCCCAGAAACCTTCGTGGACTACGATTCCGAAGAGAATGAAATTGTTGTAGAGATGACCAAGAAAGATCGCAAAGTGCGTGCCGCCAACTTTGTGGACAAAGAAGCTGAACTATCTGAGTCCGAATGGGGATCTGCCGACGAAGACGAGAAGAACATGGATACTTATGATATAGAGCTGGGCGACGAGGACGAGTTTGATCGCGACAAGCTGCGTCATGAGCTAGGTCAGATTCATGCGTAAGTATAGCAGGAATATTACTACAAGTTTTTATAATTAAACGTACTTTTTTTTCCTGTCAGTCGAAAAATGCTGGATCAGGATATTCGGGAGGTGCGCAAGATCAAGGAAATGCTGTTCGAGGAGGAAGAGGAGGGAGCAAGTCGCCAACGCCAGTTCCGTTGGAAGAACGTTGAGGACGGCTTTAGCTTAGATGACCATCGTCCAGAGAACAGTGAAGCAAACGAGGGCAGTGGCGATGAGGAAAACGAGCATCTGTGGCGAAAAATACGATATGAACGCGAGCAGCTTCTCTTAGAAAAGGGCCTTAAACCCGTGAGCAAATTACTTTACTATCCTTTATTTCCTCTCTAACCGATCTTGATCTTTCAGGAGGCAGCATCACCGCTCTCCACATCCGTAATAAACACCAGTAACTCTGGTAACTCCATTCGCCGGCTGAATATAATCACGTCCAAGAAGACGACGGTGGAGGTAAAGAAAAGTTCACCGTTCCTGATCTCAAAAACTGTAGCTGGAAAGCAGCAGAAAAGCGCTGTACGTGGTTCTTTTCTGGTTCGAGACCAGCAGACTCTTACAAAATTGGCAGGACTGACTAAGGGATCCTCCGCTGATGTGGACGGTTCGGAGGGAACTATTTCCGTAAAAACAGCGAAGGCCAAGAACTTTGTGTTCGCCACGCTAACGGAAGAGGAACATGAGGTACGGTTTTACATATATCTGTTATAAATATACCTTTTTCTAATTAACTATTTATTATTATACTTTTAGAATCGGAAAAGAAAAGCAGCCGATTTGCTTAACAGCAGCACTGAAACGGGTGTGAATTTCATGAAGAAACCACGATTGGAGCCACGAAGGGAGAAGTGCCTTATAGATCAGCTTCTTTAATTTAATACCTTTTAATTCTAGACACGTCTTAGTTGTACATTTTGCTACTTAGTCTATTAAGATAGTTCATAAGAGTAAAGAAACAATACATTTTATTTCATTTTAATTTTTTATCACAGTTTTTATCCAAATGTAAAGAAACATGGAATATAGAAAAATTAAGTTAACATACATATAAATATATAATTTAGTACAAATAACTGTAATAAAATTGTAATAATTGTAATACTAAATGTAAAACGAGTTTTTGAAAGCTGATTGATTGACGGTATGATTGTATAATAAAAATGTTTACTTTAGTATATTTCTCCAGTCAGATTGGTATATTAGCTCCCGTCAACAGCGGTCATACTATAAGTGAATGAAATTTTATATAGAAAGGGTGAATATGTGATTGAATCATTTATAAACTCGTTGTGATCCAGGAGGCACTTGAAAGGGTAAGACGCCGACGCCCACTTATCCACCGCCTCCGCCGACGATTGAGTTAATCTAATCTCCACGAAGCGGCGACTGCGCTGCCCCAGCTAAATTGTTAGCTACCGGCGGGACGCCTCAATCAGTAAACACTCGCCCGAAGACGCTGCCGGACGTCCCAATCCAAACCGATTCAGAGATCCCCTAGTCCGACGAACAAATACCAGAATGGTGGCCCCCTCGAAACTCAGCCAGGTGCTGAGCTACCAGAACTTCGTGCATGCCGTCTCCGGAGCCGCGGTAAGTGGTCAAATATTTACCGGCTAAAGGTCAAGATGGTAATAGTGCTAATTTGCATTTCTACTCCTCTGTACAGGGTGGCTGCATAGCGATGAGTACCTTCTATCCACTGGACACGGTGCGCTCCCGCCTGCAACGTAAGTTTTACCTGGGATTTGGTCTGTCTGTAAATAATCTCCAATAGAACCCCGATAAGCGGGCCACGCTTAGATAATGCATATATGTAGCTATACCTGCGGGCAAGTTCAAACTCCAGCGTTTTTAACTTTCTATTGATATGTTAAAGAGCCCCCTAATCATTTCCCCGCGTTAATCCAATTTTAGGTTTGGTTTATAGATGGAACCCGATAGGATCTAGTTTCTGTGCCGAGACAAGATTGTGTATTTATTTTTTCGCCAGGGAATACTTGATAGTTTACCTTAAGAGCATTGAAAAGCTATAGATAATGGTTTAAAGAATTTTTTGTAGTTAATTATAACTATTATTTTTCTCTTACCTTTATCGTTTTCCTTCTAATTATATTACACTGTAACATATAGTTGCTTTTTAATTCAAAATAATCGTTAAATGGGAAAAAAGAATATGTATATAAATTAATCATTTACAATTGGGCTGCAACACTATGATATCAAGGGTAGACCTCACAGCCTTTAATATACAAATGTATACAATTTGCAACTGTCTATATCTCCTGGACTTTGACTATAAAGCGGAATGTACAGGTGACATTGTTTAAAAAGAAACTTAAATATTCTTATAATTCATAAAAAGTATTTGAGCAAAAGTCTAGAGAAGTTCTCAAAAGTAAATAATGTTTTGGTTATTGTTTAAATATAGTAATTGAAAATGCATGTACTAGCTTTTTTGAGTTACAAACAAACACTCATAAAATTCATCTTTTAATGTTATTTTTTTATTACTATTGCCTATACATGCATGTATATCTGAAACGCATTACAAATATTAGATAATTATGATAATAGGGTTCAAGGTTGGGTTTATATCACTGATTCCGGAATGCGTGACAAATTAAATTAGCGCTTTAATAAAATCTCCCTGCGATGTTCTTGCTTCTAAAATCTCCAACCTAAAACTCATAAAATTTTATATTTTTCTTTGCAGTGGAGGAGACTGGTGAGGTTCGGAGTACCAGGCAGGTCATCAAGGAAATAGTACTAGGCGAGGGATTCCAGTCTTTGTACCGCGGTCTTGGTCCTGTTCTCCAGAGCCTGTGCATTTCGAACTTTGTCTACTTCTACACATTCCACGCACTCAAGGCCGTGGCCTCGGGTGGTTCTCCCTCCCAGCACAGTGCACTGAAGGATTTGTTCCTGGGCAGCATTGCGGGTATAATCAATGTGCTGACCACCACACCATTTTGGGTGGTCAACACCCGGTTGCGTATGCGCAATGTGGCTGGAACCTCGGATGAGGTAAACAAGCACTACAAAAACCTGCTGGAGGGTCTCAAGTACGTGGCCCAAAAGGAGGGCATCGCCGGCCTGTGGTCCGGTACCATTCCCTCGCTGATGCTGGTCTCCAATCCTGCCCTGCAGTTCATGATGTATGAGATGCTCAAGCGCAACATAATGCGTTTCAACGGCGGCGAGATGGGTAGCCTGAGTTTCTTCTTCATCGGTGCCATCGCCAAGGCCTTCGCCACGGTGCTGACCTATCCGCTGCAGTTGGTCCAGACCAAGCAGCGCCATCGCAGCAAGGAGTCGGATTCAAAGCCCTCCACTTCGGCGGGATCCCAGCCACGTACCGAGAGCACGCTGGAGCTGATGATCAGCATACTGCAGCACCAGGGTATCCGTGGACTGTTCCGCGGCCTGGAGGCCAAGATCCTGCAAACCGTGCTCACAGCCGCTCTGATGTTCATGGCCTACGAGAAGATAGCCAGCACTGTAGTCATGCTCCTTAAACGCAACTAAATAGAGGCTCTAGTCTACATGTAGTTTTACTCAACTAACCCTAATCTATGCTAACACAAACAAACACAATCTAACTTAGGATATGGCCATCATAGCAGATTCTCCAAAGTTTAGCCGCTAAGCGTCAATGGATAAAAGAAACGATTGTTAACGAATGAAAATAATAACTGGATCGTTTTATTCATTTAGTCTGCACAGCAGATTGTTAGATCTATAACTAGTGTTCTGGTCCTCTTACCATTCTCTTCTTTGGGTTGGGAGTTCTCTTAAGATTTCTAAGTTTGAATTAAATATTAGTTGGCCGCGGATACCTTTTCTTCTTTCGTATCGTCAGCAAGCTTGTCTAAAGATTTAATAGTGTCACTAGATTTTTCCTCTTCATCGGACTTCCTCCAAAGGCTTGTCGGACTTCTCATCTTCCTTGGCCACCTCCAAGGACTTTTTAGACTCGGAATCCACCACCTTCTTCTCTTCGTTGGACTTGGCATCACCTGAAGACTCCTCTAAAGACTTCTCCGATTTGGAATCTCCCTCGCCACTTGATTTCCTCTCGCTGGGATTGGCCAGCTCCGCCAGATTGAACTTCTTGCAGTCCAGATAGTTGTCGATGACGCTAAGCAGGCACCAGCCCCTCAAAACCTCCACTATAATTGATTTCTTGGCCTCCTTAAGGCTCACCGTGTTGCCCACGTTCTTGGAGTTGACCAGTTCGGCCAACTGAGTGATAATCTGATCGCGTTTGATCTGCTGATTGTAGCGATGGTTGAAGATGATGCCATAGCTGGTGGGTTCCTTAAGGAAGTGCTTGTCGAAGAGCACTCCGGCTGCAGAGATTATGTCCGGCATGTTGGCACGGCAGACGACTTCGATGGGCACCAAACGAAGGACGAATCGGGACATGGACTTGCCGGTGGTGGCTATATCGTTGATGATGTGCTTCCCAAGAGCCACAGGATCCTCCAGTTGGGTGCGGATGAAGACGCAGTTGGTGGTGTTAGTGTCCACGTTCTGAAAGCGCACCTTTCGCTGGGAAAGCTTCTCGCGGCATTTGGCGGCCGCTGCCTCCAGGTCGTCGTCGTCATCGCTGGTGGCTTCCGCTGGCTTTCCAGCACCCTCTCCTGCATCACCAGCTGCTTCTTCCTCATCCTTCTTTTCCGGCTCATTCTCCGGTTTTTCGGTGCCGTAAAGTATGTCTGCATAGTGGTTCAAAAGATTGTAGCATTCGCGAACGCATGCTTTCTCGTTGATGTTGCACGTGGCAAAGAATCCACGCTGCCCAGGTTGGAGCACCTGCCTCTTGGCGTGGAAGTACTTCTTCTTGTTGTTCTTGAATTTATGGTTGTTCGTCATTTTCGATTTTTTTGCAGAAGGTTCCATAAAATAAAATTATGCTTTTACCGGCTACTTGAATGAGAGAGACCACGATTGCTGAGTCAAAATAATACCTCAACTTTTAGGCTAAACACTAAAATTGCCATAGAAAACGGATAATGTGTGGTCACTCCAAATTTTAAAAATATAATGTTTTTAAAATCAAGTTTAGTTCATTTTTTTTATCAAAACCCTTGGAAACAATGGTCAGATCTTGTAATGTCATACCTCATTGAATTCGTCACAAAATTTCCAATCCATTGGTATTCTCAGCAAAAAAAATTTATTTTGGGCCGGATTTCGAAAAAATTGACGATGTTACCCCTTATAAAAAATGCAAAAATCGGTCAAAAAATAATTTCTTCCAAATCCACATGGAATTGATTGTATAGGTTCTCAGCTGCACAAAACAGGCATTATTTTGGCTGTGCGTCTTATTTTGGCAAAGTTATAACCAAAAACACTTTAAAAATGTGTAAAAAATGGCAAAAATTCGGAAAAATCATCTCTAATTTTCGGTTTTTTGATCAAAACCCTTGGAAATAATTGCCAGATCTTAAAATGTCATACCTCGATAAATTCGTTATAAAATTTCCAATCCATCGGTATTCTCAGCAAAAAAAAATTTTTTTGATCCGTATTTTGAAAAAAAGACGATGTTACCCCTTATGAAAAATGCAAAAATCGGTCAAAAAATAAATTCTTCCAAATCCACATAGAATTAATTGTATAGGTTCTCAGCTGCACAAAACAGTCATTATTTTGGCTGTGCGTCTTATTTTGGCAAAGTTACAACCAAAAACCTTAAAAAAATGTGCAAAAACCCGAAAAAAACAGCTACATTGTTCGGTTTTTTGATCAAAACACTTGAAAATAACGTTCAGATCTTGGAAAGTCACACCTCTTTAAATTCGTTACAAAATTTGCAATCCATTGGTACTCTCAGCAAAAAAAATTTATTTTGGGCCAAATTTTGAAAAAAAGATTATGTTAAAAATGCTAAAATCGGAAAAAAAAATTTTTTTTTCCAAATCAACTAGGAATGGATTGTATAGGTTCTCAGCCGCACAAAACAGTCATTATTTTGATTGTGCGACTTATTTTGGCAAACTTGTATATTAAATAAATTCTTTTGATGGCCAAAATCCGGAAAAAATGATATACAATTTTCGGTTTTTCGATCAAAACCCTTGGATATAATAACGGACAGAGCGTAGTGATGCTGATCTCAAAGTTTATTAACTTTTCCATCCAAGCTGTAAGATTCAATGATTTTTTAGACCCCCTATCACGAAACCTTTAAATTTTCTATAGACATTCATTTAATTTTAGTTACTTTTATTATGCCGACAATTCTCACATACATTTGTCGTAGTCTGTCACTTAAATTCAATTACTCTCAATCCATTTGATGTTGTAAACATTTTAGCGTTAATACGTATGTGCCTGTTTTCGGTTCGAATTTAAAATTAGATAAATTTAAGAATTTTGGAATTATTTATTTTCTGCGTTCGCACTAAGATTAGTTCATCATTCGTTCTCACATCGATTATATTAAACATAAGAAAAACAGAATTCATCAGTATCAGTTGTTTTGCACACTTAAATGCTAAAGCATGGTAGCATATTATATGCAAAATGAAAGTACAAATTACAGATGGAAAAGGCTGCTGAAAATCTAACTAAAGACCTATCTCGCTCCGCCTGGACTTCATCCGCAGACTTATGTTTCAAGTTTTTGATTGTGGTTTACCAATATACAGCGGTATATCATATTAAAATATAAATAAATGTATTGCAAAGTGGCGTCGAACATAACAAATGCAGCGCCGCCCGGCTTTGCTCTGACTTAAGCCTTAAATGTTGTGAACTTAAATGTCTAAAGGTTCCTAAAACAAATAATTGATGCACTATCCGCATGAATTCGCTTCTCATAAACATAGTGTGTGAAAATGTACAAGGCAAAGAGCAATACAAAATTATCATCAAATTAAAATTACGAATTATGCATAGAGTGTGTAAAGTAAAATGTACAATTGTTGCTATTTATATAAAACAAGCTAGCGCGTTCTTTGCTTCCGCAATTGCATATGCCGCATGTCATGCAGGATTGCCATAACTTTTGCCCACATATCCTTGAGTTTCGGGTGTGTATATGATCGATGTCCGCTTTCTTAATCTTTGCATATTTACCAAAGTTTTAGTGCTTAAATTTGGGGAAATCGCACTCTGCCGCTTTTCCAATTGGTCAGCGAGAAAAGCGGCAGGTGCTCCTAAGGCTCCAAAGCCGAGAATCGAGCAAAAGTATGTATTATCAACACATTGCCAAATGAATTGCATCTGAAAACGTGTTCACAAGATCACTTTTAATGTCCAACGGCTGTAGTTTCAATTTTAGTTTTCTTTTCATGCTCTCACGTATTCAAGTGCCATATAAATCTGGTTCCATATATGTATATAAATAGGTGTTATCATGATTGTTGTGGTGAAGAGGGAAACGTTGCGGTGCTTACAATTAGGTGAGGTCTGCTCGTAGGTGCATATGACTATAGTATTTATAGTATGATATAGCTTGCACTACCATAAGATCAATGACGTTTAAAATCAAAGTAAATATACAAAGCATACGAAGGGTAAATGAATCGAACTTAGCTTAGGTCAAATGTACAGTGTTGTGTGATAGTTAGGTGTCTGATTTTTGTGTGTTATGGCTGTCCGACAGAACGCAAAGTTATGACAAAAGTACACAAATCAATCGATCATACGCAAGAGTTGCTGAGTAGGTAACATTTAAAACCGCCCGGCTGATCGCCCCGCCCCGAAAATGAACTTAATCCTAAGCGTAGAGCGTGCACTCGATGTAACTCGTGGGCACGAAGCCCTCGTCCCAGCCATTGGTGTTGTTCGCCCTCCGCACTCGCGTCCATCCATCGCCCTGGTCGATCTCGATCACTTGGAGCTCCTCGCCCTCGTTCATGGGTATGCTTCCCTCGCTTGACGCTATAGGGGATTAGAAACAAAATTAATTTTATGTTATATTACTTGGATATTTTAGATCACGCACCTTCAAAAGGATACAGGGCTTTACATGTGCCCAGCGGGTTAAGGGTCTCCACTTCCCTTTCATAGTAGGTATCATCGCCAATCGCATTCTCGTTGGCACTGCCCTGTCCCGATCCAGGCAGGGATGTGTGTGAAGTGCCCAGGCCGCTCTCAGGACTTGCCGAACTGCTGGATTTCACCATGGAAAAGGCAAAATGAAACGAAATATTTGAAGAAGTTGCAATTTCACATTATTAAGTGTCATCATGTAGGGTGTAAGGCATTAAAGAATTAAGATTTTACTACAAATTAAAAGTTAAGGCAAATTTGTTTTAAAATTTTGTATCTTTGGCATATTGTGGACTTTCTGGGCTATTATTTCTTTATAGATTTTGCGAATGAGTAAGGAACCAACACCAAAGAAAATGCCACACACCATAGAGTGCAGTGATAGTATGATTGAATAAAATAATACAGATTAGATATGCGATGCTACGATAATGTATGTTCTAGTATTGTATGTGGGTGAGATATATATATTTATAAACATTGAACGTAGACTTATGAGTGTACCCGTTATTGTTATTATTATGCCCATTTTGTATTTGCGCCACATTATCCTCAGAATCTGACCTGCTTAAGCTGCCAGCATCATCGGGCTGGTCGTCGCCATCGTCATGATGGTCATCGGCACTGCCATTGGAATGTCTGAAAGAGTATTCAGAAATGTTGTGATATATTTCCAAAGATAAGACTCAACCCAACCCACCTAGAGGTTCGGTGACCGTTTTGCAATTGATTTCGATTCGCCTGCGGACTACTGGTGGCCACCGGCACTTGACTGGCCTTCTCCAAGAAGCCCTGGTACTTCTTCAGATCCACTTTCAGCTTCTCCAACTTGTGTTCCGATTCGTTCAGTTGTCCCTCGACGGTCATGGGATTGCCCAGCGAAGAGTTCGCCTCATAGACGATCTTCATCTTCATCAGGCCATCCCGTGCATTTGTTTCCTGGGCGATCTTATGCTGCAGTTCGGCGATCTTCGCCTGCAGCTTCTTTCTCCGCTGGTTCGGTGGTAAATCGCTAAAGTCCTCCTTTTGTCCATCGGCAGTCAGGGAATTCTGTTGCAATTACATTATGATTAGTTTACAACTTTACAAAAATTTAAAAGTATATCTTTAGAGGTGAATGCAATGAGGAATACAATACAAATCAGGACTAAAAGGACAAGACATCCACAAGACACAACAAGAGTTGCACACGGTGATTCGAATCAGTACAAACAACAGAAAAATCAGAAGGAAATATCAACAAACCAAACAGTAAATGCAAATATTTTGATAATCCAATGACCCGCTTTCGACATCAATCAAATTAAACTCGTTTTAGCATAAACAGGCTATTGAAAGCTACCATAAAAATATTACGGAAATGGAACGAAAGCGAAAATAAGGCGATAAAGGCATTCAATCATGCGGAGGGATTTTCGAGAGCTAATGGGACATAAAAGAAAAGAAAAAGAACTGAAACAATCGTAAAGTTTACAACTAAATAAAATAATGTGTGAGTGTGGTGCTGTGGCTTTTAGCTAACAATTTACTGGTTAATTTAAATATTTGAGAATAATTGGTGGTGTTATTTTTAGGACTTGACTATGTAAACTCAAGCCAAGAATATGCCGATCGTTTGCGTTCAGGCATTCAAAGTGAAAGTTGCTGAGACTATTAATTATTATTAATGGAAACGATATGCTAGTGATGGTTAGAATTGTGTTTAGCTGATTGTGATTAGTAGATAGCGAGATAGTGGTGTTATTAAGATTAATCGTAAGGGACTAGTTCAGGCTAGGCTTAGTTAGAGTTAGTTATTTAGTTAGTTGGGAGAGAGCTGAAAGATTGATCATACCTTCATGGTGATACAGGCTTCAATTATCTGCCGTTGCTATTGGCAGCGAATTGATTTAGTATTTTATTTTGTAGGTTTGCATTTTTTGAAATTGTATCACATGTTTGTCAGTTGTTTATGTGTTGTGTTCGTGTGGT